CTGGATTTATTTCTGTTCATTAGTTTATGTTGTTCATATACTCCACAAATGAGTGAGATCATGTGATATTATCTTTCTCAACTGGCTTATTTCACTTAGCATAATGCTCTCCAAGTCCATCCATGCTGTTGCAAATGGTAAGAGTTCTTTCCTTTTTTACAGCAGCGTAGTATTCCATTGTGTAGATGTACCACAGTTTTCTAATCCACTCATCTGCTGACGGGCACTTAGGCTGTTTCCAATTCTTAGCTATGGTGAATTGTGCTGCTATGAACACAGGGGTGCACATGTCCTTTTATTGCCATTTTTCGGATGAGGAAACATTCAAGTTGCTAAGTAAACTTGCCCAAGATTACACAGTTGGCAAGTGGGGGACTCAGGGCACTTTTAACCACATGTAGCACTTCCTTCCAAAATTAATGCAAAATTTAACATTCTCCGAAATGGTTCAAATTACCTGTCTCCTTTTGTGAGGTGCACACTAAGCCCCTCACAAAGTGATTGAGTGTTGACCTATGAACCAGGAGGTCACGGTTTGATTCCTGGTCAGAGCACATGCCTGGCTCCTAGGGGTGTGCAGGAGGCAGCCAATCAATGATTCTCTCTCATCATTGATGTTTCTATCTCTCTCCTTCTCCCTTCCTCTCTGAAATATATATATATATCTCAAGGCTATCCTACTTATAAAAATCCTGTTTTCAAGTCATTATTTTCTCAATTCAATCATTATAAAATGTAACAAATGATTAAGTTCTGGATTAAAATTTCTCAAAGTAAAGACAGCTCTGTTCTGCCATTTTCAAGTGTGCCAGGTAGTGACAAATCATGCTGGTTTCTGCCTCTGGGCCTTAACACAATAAATGATTATACAGGCTTAGGGTATATATTTTTGCTTTAATATGCAATATAAATGTATCCCCCCTCTCCTATTAAATCGTTAGCCTTATTCAGAGCAGGCTACATTTTCTGCTTCCTTTATCAAGGCTGCACATATTAAAATACACTGTTGTCTTCCACTATGAATTGCTGTGATTTTGATATCTCAAAGAGGCTGGTGGGAGTTCTGACTGATACTTCAACCTCATACTTCTTGCGTCAGAATACAGTGCTTGCATTTTAATGTTTTCAAGGCACATCCCAGGCAAAGTACTAACTTTTGAACTAACCCCTTGAAAATTTAATAAGAAAAGGATTTTTTTTTCAAACTTGAATTTTAGAGAAGAGGATAACTTTTCAAACTGCAAGGTGCTGTACAAAGCAATCCATAGAAGTTGACTCTGCTATTAACTAGGTAGAAGGAAGGGGTTAAAATGGCCAAGTCTTACAAACATACTGAATTCAGCCCTGTTCTGTTTATTTGTAACTCTAATAGTGTATGAGTTGAATTCTGAAAGTTTTGGAACTTAAAAAAAAAAAAGCGTTTTAGTTTCATTCATGGCCTGGAGAGGAGCTCTGAGAAAGGAAGTGAGAGGGCACAGCTTTGAAGAACTGGCAATTTGGCCTCTCCTCTTCCCCCTTTCCTCCCCTCCCCCACGATCTTAGCTATTTTGACCTGATTCAACAACTTTGGGATGGTAGCCAGATTTCTGTTTGCTGACGAGGCCTCTAATTCGGGATTTAGTGCGATGTCACCCACCTCGAGCTTCCCGACTGCCCCGCGGAAGACCGGCTTCACAGAAATCTCCCAATTTTTGTCCGGGGTTCGCCAGCGAGGAGTTCACACAGACTCTGAACACCTCCAGGCACATCAGATTACTCATTAGTGAACCCTTTTCACCTTCTATCTAATAGTGAAAGGAGACGTCAGAATCGCGAGTGCTGCTCGCCCAAAGAGGTTCTGCCCGCCCCCAGGCTAGGTAGCAGAAGACGTTTCCAAAAGCTTCCTTAAACCTTCCCTGCACCTAAGCCAGGTCTGAGA